TTTTTTAAACTGCTCTCATGTTTTAGCTGCCTCTCTTCTTTCTGGAGAATTGGTACAAATGTAGAGAGTAAACTTTGAGCAGCCTCTGATAACATTCTTTGTCATGTTGGCATCCAGAAAGTCATGATAGAGGAGTTATTCACATATCAATAGACTGCAGAAAGATCTTTATTTCAAAGACCTTTAATTTCTGTTTTGGTCTTTTTTTTGAAAATGTAATTTATCTACTTACCCTATTGGGGTTTTTTAGGAACTTGTAAAAGTAGCTGTACGCAAATATACACAAAGAATTGAGAATTTTCTTTCTTTTTCATAATTATTTTAAGCTTGGATTGTTTTCAAGGTATGTGTTAGGACACAGAACGTGAGCTGCCAGCATTAGCTGGAAGTGAAGTGACCAGCAGGAAGTCTGGCTTTGAGAGGGAGCTTAATATTTTTTTGAACTGGAAAATATCCAACATTGTGATTTTGTTTGTATTATGTAGGAGCTTTTAGTATTCTTTTTGATAGTCCTTTTAAAATCAAAATTACTCTGTATGTGCTTTCTGTTAATTCAGTATGGTTTTGGAAATAAACAACTCTGTAGCTCATGGGTTCTTTATTGTTCACTAACACAGTGATCTGTTCAACTAGTTTAAAAAAAAAAAATCCTAATTTGTTTCTTCTGTCATTCCAGATAGACTCTTCAGTTTCTTTCAATACCAATCATGAAGCATTTACAGCTGTTTTTAATACCTATACCAGTCTACTTACTGATCAGAGTTTAGGCTTAAATCTTAAGGTAAATTGCTCACTTCAGTGACTTTGCTGGCCTCCCCAGGTTAGAATGTTAGTCATTCATGAATTTCCCTGTTATTGGGCTTAAAGTTTACTTTAGTTTGCACAGTAACGTGGACATCACTTCCATTTTTTGTTCTCCTGTTCAGCATCCTAAAAATTGTAAATCATCCTTTTTGTTCTTCAGGCAGAAGGCGATATCGCAGATGTTGTGTTTTGGTTTTAGGTGCTCTTCTACTGAAAGGCATGTAATTTTTGGGAAAAAACTTGCTGTCAGTTGCAAGTAGTTTAGAACTCTAATGTGTTCATTTCAGAAGTGACAGCTAATCAGGCTTTTAGCAAGGACTGGCATTCCCTACATGGCAAATTACGAACATCTGCTATGGTTTTAATGTCCATGTCTGCAAGTGTGAGACCAGTACTAGTGGATTAACTGTTATATGTGGCTTGGTCAGAAGAGGGAGATAAAGTACTGCATACTGAAAGTGGAAGTTACAAAAGATGCTGGATCATAACGTTTGGACTAGAAGATGAAAAATTTTCTGCTTATGAAACAGTTTTGCATAGTTGCTGCTCTGAGAGTACCTTTAGCTAGACAGAGTTTTGTACTTTCCTGTGCATTCAAAATAAAGTTTGGGGTCTTGCTTTTAGCTGCCAGGTAGTGCATTAGATCAGTCACTTGTGTGATACAAGATGCTTGCTTAAAAGAACAATGAGGTCTTATTCATAGCCATGTCAGCCGTAAGATAGTAATTAGCTTTTAACTCCCACTCAGCAGTGACCAAAGCTTGTTTTCTGAATTAGCACCTGAAAGCTGAGCAGCTACATAATGTCTCTTTATCAGTACACTGAGCCATTGAATCAGTAAACACAGCCACTGCTGATTATTTTGTGGTCCTATTGAACTTGCTTCACAGTTAGGGAATAATTTTTTTAGTGTGAAACTGTGTTTCTTTTCTTCAGGGCCAAGCAGTGATAATTCTTCCATTCTTCACTAATTTGACTGGAGAAAAACTTCATGAGCTTAAGAATGCTCTTGATGAACTTGTAGCTTTCAATTTTCCCATGAGGTCAGATGAGTTTCCCAAAGGAACCTTGAAGCACAATAACTACGTAGACTGCACTAAAAAGGTCAGTATTTTTAGTGAATGTGTAATTAGAAGCCTAGGTGAACTATGCCTAGAAACAATGTTTCATAGAGTCTGGAATTAAAGAGAGAGAGACTTTGTGTAAAGAAATCAGCTTTTCTGTTTCTGAGTTATGTCTTTATCCAGAAGTTTAACTTACAGATACACATTAAATACATATATCCTTCTTAGCACTTATCAGTACTGAAAAATAATTACATAATTAGACAGAATTGATTTGATCCAGTGTGGCTCCTTATTTTATGCATTACTTCTTTTTTCAGTTTTTAGATGCATTAGAATTGTCTCAGAGTCCAATGCTGTTGCAGTTGATGACAGAAGTCCTCTGCAGGGACCACAGACATTTCATGGAGGACTTATTTCAAGCCAGCTTCAAAAGAATTTCCAGAAGGTGAGTTTGGTCTATTGGATTTTGCTCTTGTTCTCATTGAATTTTTGCTGAAGCAAATGTGCTTCCTCTATTATGTTGTCCTTGTAATTAATAGTGATGTTTTACACCATAAAGTTTTATGTAATAGTTTCAATTCAGATTTTGCTTTTGTCTTCAAATTTCGGGAATATTTCTGAAGTGTGAACAAGTGGCACCAACTTCCAGATAACACTTCCAATGCCTGGGCAAATTTTGTAAAGCCTTCTGTAAACTAGCATGTTCTGGCAGAATTCAGTTGGAAAATAACAACTGTGTGTGATACCTGTATTTGCTATCCCTGTATTACCACGCGATCACTTAAGTTGATAGCACTTAAAGTGACAGTGAATTACTTTGTTCAACCCCTTTCAAAACACAGCAGACATTTATTTAATTGAATGTTTCCAGAGTGGTAAACTGTAGACACAAACATGCTCTATCTACAGAAGAGGTCTTCAGTCTCTTCCAAACGAAACATTCTAATTCATGATGGGCTATTTGAGTAGGGACTATTTTAGAGCATGTAGTTTCCTGGACAAAGTCATCTATCTTATGCCCAAATCCCATTTCTAAAGTTTTAACTTTCATAAGTTCAGAAATTCAGAAAAACAGTTCATCTGGTAGTGATAGGCCACAGAAGGACCTGGTAACAGTGAAGTCTCCTTTTTTAGCTTGTTTGCCGCCATCCTTCACATGTACCAGATTATTTTTTTTTTTTTAGGTTGTTCAGTGAAAAGGGACTGAGAAAGCTAATGATTGCTTTTGGATTAAACTAACAAACATATACAAACAAGTTTATGATCTGTTGCAGAGTAAGAAGCTGACATTTTCTTGGGAGATTCAACCTGATCTTGCATGTCTTGTAGGATGATAACCCTAGAGGGTATAAACACCAATAAAAATTTTAAATGTCAGGGCGTTTTGAAACATAAATGGAGTCTGGTAAAAGAATTTTCCGCTTGAGATTTCTATCTTGTTTAGGAGCACCACTGACAAACAAGTGGTACTGTTGGACACTGTTCACAAAATGTTCCAGAGTGAAGACCTTCTTTCAAATACGACCCGTCAGGCATTTATGGATCGCTCCCTCCTCACTCTCCTGTGGCACTGCAGCTTGGATGCACTTAGAGAATTCTTTGGCAAGATTATAGTGCAGGCTATGGATGCACTTAATTCAAGGTTTACAAAGGTATGAATTACTTTTTTTAAGGATTGGGGAAGGTCTAATAAAATACTGGTGCTGGTATGTACATTCTGCTTAACTTTGAGGGAGATGCTAATTGAAACCATTTGCTTTCTAATTTTCTGTATCTTGAAGCAGAAGCTTGTGCCAATTACATAGTTTGGTTAATAGTGAGAAACTTTTCTTTATTCCCCAACACACTGTTGCTTTGAAGCTAATGCACATTTGCATATCTACTGTGTATAAAAGTTGAAGTTGAAATGTTATCTGTATATATCTACAGGGGCCTGAAGTTCTGTCAAATGCAAAAACCTGTTCTAGCTTTGAAATTTAAAAGCTGTATAAAATTGTAGCCTGTTACTACGTTGTGAGAGAGAGGTATTCAACCTCCATTAATAAAAGCTCTTAAATTAGCTGCCTTACTTCTAGAGAAAGAAACACATCTAATCATTGCAAAGAAGCTTCAGCCAAGGATTAGGAGCACAGGTCTTCCTTTCTCTATTTACAGTCTATCCTCCAATTTAGAGTATAGTTACATGCAATGATTTTGTTGTCAGTGGAGGTCTGTGCTCTTTGTCACTCCTGTGGTTTTGCTGATGCAGCTGTTTACAGGCAGCAGGACAAACAAGATGCTGAAATGATTCAAATTCAATAATAGTTATTTAAAAAAAAAAAAGCTAAACCCAAAACTTATGTAGAGTCACCCCCACCATGTTTCTGTTGCTATAAGCATTGGCACCAAAATAAGGTGCATAAAGAAACTCATGAATAATACCTAGTATGGTGACAGGTATGTATGTTCTGCTTACAGGTGTTAACTTACAGAGTTGAGAAGTTACTTGATACTCTGCTTATTTTACTCCCAATATCACTATAATGATTTAGGCCAATTGTAGTTAAGGCAGCTCACCTGATAAAGAGCAGGTCAACATAGTTTTAATAACTGTATTACACAGGTACTCAGAATCTGTTAGTTGTTTATTATCATTAGCTCTTTTCTCTGTTTTAGAAGGTAAAAGTAAGTTGAAGGCTGTTTAGTAGAAACTAGAGTAACTGTGGAGCTGCTTAGGAAGGGCAGGATCCAGGATAACTCTTTCTGAGGTTTTGCTTATTTGTTTCCAGTCCAATGAATACATTTTTGATATGCAAGTCACAAAGAAAATGGGGTATTACAAGCTGCTGGAAGTGATGTATGTGCGTCTTTCAAAAGAGGATGTTTACTCCAAGGACTCTAAAATTAACCAAGCTTACCGTGGCTCCATGAGTGTAGAAGGAAATGAACTTACCAAGACACTAATAAAGTAAGACTATTATTACTTTTATTTCCTTCTAATTTCTTATTAGGTTTTGGGCAGATACATTTTTTTTTTTTTTTTAAGTATGTCATATAAAGCAGAAGATTGATTTGTTCAAGGGTAAATGTAATCTGTGATGTAGCTTTTGATTTTAAATGGAATACACAATATTGAATTTGCATTGATATAATGATCTCTAGTGTAGGCTCCAATCCTATGTCAGGATAACTTTTGCCTTCTGTTTTTGCCTTTTTTTTTCTGGTTTGTTAAGCTTGTGCTTTTATTTTTGCTTTTCAATATGATTCTTGGCCTTTAATTTGTGTTTTCACAAGTTCAGTTTCAGTATGCTTCACTTTTATGTAGCATATGGTTCGGTGTTGTAAGATAGGTATTTATATGATTGATGAGAAGATGGGATGTATTTTCATTTACCTTTCATAATACAGCAGCAATGTAATTTGGTTTAATCACCACTGCAGAGGGGGACAAAATATTAATGGTGAATATATGTGCTAATTCATATTAGCTTAATATTATGAAAAAAATACAAGATGTCTGAATTGCTGTTAATTTTTTTTGTTTTGTTTTAATTTTATTTTACAATACTATGTCCTATGAGGACTTTAAAGAATTTCTTGGCTGTGATTTGCAGAAGATCTATAAAAGGCTATGGTCAAAAGACCTATAAAATTTGCATCTAAACTGGTTTTCTCTGGGTAATCTATAGCATAACTTAGCATGCCTGTCCATTCATAATTTCTTGGGAAAGGACCATGAGAGAGATTTATGTGTATGTTAGAACATACCTCCATCTTAGCTGAAAATGGTCAATCATCATATTCCTGACATTAAGGACTACTGTGTAAATACTTGAGGAAGTTGGCTTTGTCACTACTTCTTAAAAAGACTTCTGATGGTGTTTTCTTGCCTGTTTGTGTTTTAAGGTCATGCTATGATGCATTTACAGAAAACATGGCAGGAGAGAATCAGCTGTTGGAGAAGAGGAGACAGTATCACTGTGCAGCATATAATTGTGCTATTGCTGTTATCAGCTGTATTTTCACTGAAAGTAAATTTTATCAAGGCTTTCTTTTTACAGAAAAAGCGGAAAAGGTGAGAAGCTGTTGTTGCTGTTAGAAGGCTTCCAGAGCACGAGACACAAAGTGATTTTACCTGATTGCAATAAATCAAGGAATCAAACCTGAATGACATGCAATTATATCAACAAATTATCCAGTGAGGCAATAGAAGGAGTCGTAGCTGTCGTAGCTGACTTTCTTGCATCCTTCATGCAATTTGGTTTGCTGATGAAGGTTTTACTGTCTGTTTGGGAATGGGTGAAGTAGTGATACATTTACCCTGTTTTCTGTCTGCTCTCGCTCATTTTTCTAAAATGTGAGGAAAAAAACCCTATTGTTTAAGTTCTCCAGTGCTTGGAATATACTTAATAAGAGATACCCTCTTTACAGAGCACATTGTGCTGTGAATTCTTGAGTAGTTGAATAACAACATTTTCTTCAAAGTATTGATTTAGAAGAGAAAACATGCAATATTTTCTATATTGTACGTTGATCTGTTGTTTTTTAAGACGAAATAAAATACATTCAGAGCAATTGTTATCATGTGCAGCATTATAATTTTGCTATTTCCAAACATGCTTCGTTTTGCAGAACTTGCTGATTTTTGAAAATCTGATAGACCTGAAGCGTCAGTATACATTTCCTGTAGAAATTGAGGTGAGTGGAATTTCTGGGCTTCAGTGTTCCAAAGTGAAAAATGAGTATGGCTTTAACAGCGTAGTCACTGTAGACCAGGTCAATTCTCACATACAAAGAAAGAGGATTCTTTAGTGAATAAAAAATGGAGCACTCTAATGTTTTAAAATACATTTTTCTAAGAGAAATTCAGTCTTGAAATTTAGAACACATCTGCAGTGCACATAACTTTAATATACTTTTTAGCACACTTACTCTGGTAATGAACAGCTGTAGGAATAACTAATTTAGCTGTTCTTCTGCAGCATTAATTATAATAATTTACAACATAGGATTTCCATTCATGTTAAATAGTTTTGATCCTTTCTGGGCAGTTCTGTAAATAAATAACTGTAAATAAAACCAATTTAACTAATTTTTAAAACTTTATTTCTTTCTTATTAGGTGCCTCTGGAAAGGAAGAAGCGATACATTGCTATTAGAAAGGAGGCCAGGGATGCAGGGAATAGCGATCAGGGTATGAAATTCATTTATAACGATGAAAAAATGCCTTCTTATGTTTCATACAGTGTTCATTGATGTGTTGCTAGTTGGCTTCCACAGTAGCAGGAACAAATAGAAGCATTTGATATACTTCATCTAACAACCAGTTCCCACCCACCCCAAGTTCTAGTGGCCAATAAAGGCTTGTTTCTTGTAATTACCTTGATTAATGGTCTATTCTTTTTTCCTATTTAGATGAACCCAAGTATTTAGCTTCTGCATCATACATGATGGATAGCAGTTTGAGTGAGGAAATGAGTCAATTTGATTTTTCTACTGGAGTTCAAGGCTTTTCTTTTAGCTCCCAAGATGTTACAGCTAGCAGCGCTCGTTTCAGGAGAAAGGTAATTTAGTGACTTATGTGCTGTGAGGAAGAAAAGTTTTATGCTTTCTAGCAATTGCATATGTTTATTGGGGCTGAGAAGGAGGCTAGAAATTTCTCTTATAGTTCTTCTACTTGACTGAGTGTGGGTTCCTCCAGAAGATGAGGGAGGGGACTGCAGCTATCTTCCGCAGGTCATTTTTCTTCTTCCCTCTCTCCTCTGTCTACAGCTGGAGAAAAGTAATGCCGTACCGTGGGTGTCTGAAATTAAGTCATGTGAGTGAAGTCCAGCCTGAGCTGTAAAGAGATGGCTTGTGTGCACTGAGGAGTGTCTGTGATTGTCGTGTTTTGCTGTTAGGCACCTGGTTTCCTCATTTCCCTCTTCTTTTGGTCTTTGAAGGCACTTGACCAGGCTGATTGTATCAAATGCATGGAATAAATGATCAAATGCTTTATTATTTTTGTATCTCTGTTGTGGCACCTTGTATTTAATTGTTGCTCTTTGAAGAACAGCATTTAATATCTTCTGAGATTAAAAGTTGCAGTCAAGAGATGACTCATCAACAGTACTACTGATAGAATAGATATTTGCTATAAAACAGAAAGCAAGCTTGAAAAAGTATCATAGACACTGAAGATTAAATCTGCCAAAATAACTGTCAACATTGGTAAAGATAAACTGTTTCCCTGTTTTGGAGCAAGGAGGTGTTTTAGCTGCAGTGAAGTTAACCAGAAATGTACTTTCTGTCTGCTTTGTGTAGTAATGTAATTTCTTCTAACTATAAACATTTTTCTTTTGTGATCTATTCCATGTAGCAAAAGAGAGAGCTGCTGTGGTAGCTAGTCAGTGTGAAACAACACATCCATAAAAATAGGACATTCCTCCTGTGGAAGGTGTTAACACATTCTTTCAGCTATAAAATGAAATAATTTCTGTGAGTTTCAGCTAACTCTTCCTGCTTCCAGCAGTTGCCACACCTATCCTGGCAGATAGTAAAGTCAGAGTAACATGAAATTGCCATCTGTTGGCACAGAAAGTAAAAGATGTGCATAGCTGGTACGCATATTTGGGAGGTGTCTGTTTGAACCACACGTTTAACGTATTCCCTGTTGGTGCACACTGAGCATATAGTCAAATTTGTAAACACGTAAAATGAGAATGACTCATGGCATTATCATGATTTAAAAGAAAATACAGTGTTATTACTAATCATAGTAATGCTTTTATTTTCAGGAGCCCACAGAATACATGGTTTTAAATGATGAAATGGAACTGGAAATGGATGAACTCAACCAACACGAATGTATGGCTTCTATGACCACTCTGATTAAACATATGCAGAGGAACCAGATCACACCCAAAGTAGAAGAGGCCAGTATCAACCAAAAAGCTGGCATTTTTTCCCTAATTATACCAAGAAAAGAGAGTCATGATTGAATCCCTTTGTTTATTAATTTTCATGGCTATATTATAATGACACCTATGTGGCTCGAGCTGGGGGAGCTTTTTGGTTTGGTAAGCCTGTTCAGTCTAAGTGAGCTGATTTTTGTTCATGTCTCTTAAATTTCAGGGAACAGTTCCAGTAGATCTTCCTCTTTGGATGAAATTTCTGCACGGCAAATTAGGAAACCCATCAGTACCACTAAATATTCGCCTCTTCATAGCAAAACTTATTGTTAATACTGAGGATGTGAGTAATTTTTTTTTGTCATATTTTTTTCTGTTAACATGACAGGTTGTATTATGATATTAACTGTGTAACTCCTGTGGAGTAAAATATTTCATCAGCTGTGACTTTTGGGGCATTCAAATTGAGTGATAAATTTGAATTTGCCATGATAAAAGAGAGCACATTCATAGCCCAAAATCCCAGATTGTGCCAGCATTTTGAATGTAATATACTTTTTCTCCCAAACGCTACACCTATAAGTAGAGGTTATTCACAATATGTGTCTTCTGTAAACTATGGCTAATTGATTCATTGATACTGGGCAAGAGGTATAGCTAATTATGTTTGCCATCTTTGAAGGAGGAAATATCATGTTTTTTAATGGTCACAGATGAGTCTTGTGGAAACTCTTATTGCTAAATGATGTTCTGGTTGCAGAAAGATATTAAGATAGCATAATGTGTCTTTGCCTGAGAAGAAACGTTTTCTAACTCTCATTCTTGGATAAAACATTCTCATCCTATTTCATACAGTGATTTGAAAGTACAATGTTTATGTCTGCAATATTCCAAATACAAAAAGACTGAGTTTCAGAATTAATTCAAGAAGCTTTAACACCCACTTAATGCTACTTTCTTAGTAAAGGTGTCTGAAATGGAAGGGTAGATGAATGGCCTTTAGGGACAGGTTTTCTGCATGACAGCTGTATTATGTGCGCCCTAGTGAAATAATTAACTATATATATATGTGAATGCTTGGTTAAAGGTTTCTAAGCAGAATTGAGGAATGTAGTTTTGATACTTTCTATTTTAAAGTTATTTTAATCTCTGAGGCAACATCCACCAAAATTTTAAGCAAGGTGATAAGAGGTTGATTTAGCAGTCTTACTTGTAATAATTATTGAACAACAGGTTTTGAGTAGTTGGATAATTTGTACCTGATTGCTGATTCTCCTGTTTTCCATAGGTTTTCCGCCCTTATGCAAAGCAGTGGCTTGGTCCATTGCTGCAGCTTGTTGTTTCTGGGAATAATGGAGGTGAAGGGATTCATTACATGGTAGTGGAAATAGTGGTTACTATCCTTTCCTGGACAAGTGTAACCACTCCCAAAGTAAGGAAATGTGAAATTCATTTTTATTATTATTGTGACTATTTGGTAAGGAATGACTGAGTTTGTTATTATGCACTTACAGTAATTTTCTATATCAGTTCATTGTTTCTTTTAGACCCTAACTTCAAAAATAGCTTATTTACTTGCTTGCTTTCATAAAACAATATATGTCTTCTGTCGGAGTCACTATGTTTATTTCTGCCTCTATTCATTGTAGGGGAATATTAAGGATGAGATTTTAGCTAACAGATTGCTTGAATTCTTGATGAAGAATGCCTTTCACCAAAAAAGAGCTGTGTTCAGACACAATCTTGAAATCATAAAGACAGTTATAGAGTGTTGGAAGAACTGTCTCTCTATACCTTACAGGTAAGCATTTAGACAATTGCTTTTTTTAATCAATATTTCAAGAATATAAGTGAACATTATCAAAGGAGATGAAAAGCTAAATTCAGCTGCAATAGTAAACTTCTTGTCCCTAGAGTTGACAGGGAAACTTTGGAACTGAACTCTCCAAAGATTGTAGTTGAATTTGCAAAGCAACAAGGAGACAGGGAAAACATGTAGAGGATTACAATAGCAACAACAACAGCAGGAGTAATCTCTGCAAAGACTTAGTTTTATTTGAGATTTTGGGTATTATCACTAAATACTGGTGCACTCTTAGTAAGACTTCTGCAATCAGCTGTGCTCCTGAACTTGTTGCAGAGAATTTGTGTGGGCTTACAATCTCTGTTTGATTTTTTTTTTATTTTTTTTTATTTTTTTTGTTTTGCAAAGACTTCTTCACTGAAGACTTACTACTTACTACTTTCTGAATATATGCTTTCTACTGGCTTTGGTGGGAGTGTATATGCATATATACATACTTCCTGCTGGTTTTGGTGGGGTTGTATGTACGTATATAATCTGTACGTACACAATATTTCCTGTATATATCTGTATGTACACAGAGAGTGAGTGATTTATGGTGTGTATATTTGGGGGTTTTCGTGTATATCAGTATTTTTGTTTTTATCCAACAGTTTAATACATGAAAAGTTTTCTAGTGGAGATCCTGATACAAAGGACAACTCAGTGGGAATTCAGCTGTTGGGAATTGTTCTTGCTAACAATTTACCTCCCTTTGACCCAAAGTGTGAAATAGATCGTGTCAGGTGAGAAATGCAGCTTTTTGGAGAATGATTTTGATAAAAGTTTAAGACAAAGAGAGAGCACATCTAACTTGTCAGCCTGAAGTATGGGAACTGGATTGCTTGTTTATCAGAATTGTTTGTCTCATCATCCCTTTGCTGAGAGCACATCTAACTTGTCAGCATGAAGTATGGGAACTGGATTGCTTATCAGAATTGTTTGTCTCATCATCCCTTTGCTGTTGTCTGTCAGATGTAATGCTTTTCTGGCTGCGAACTGCAGACCACATTTATTTTGGAAAATACCTAAAAGAATGTAAGCTTTTTTACAGTGGGCCCCAAGGTTGTGGTTTCATGGGAGTTAAGAGTCAGGAATTGCCAAAGCAGGGATTTGAGACACTGCAGGTGGAAATCCATATTGTGCTGTATACAGCTCTTCTAAAAGCAGTCATTGTTCTCCTAGGGAGCTCAGGTGATTTTGTTTTGGTTTAAAATTGGCTTCTGGAGTAGTGGCTTACAGCAGGTCTACCTTCTGTGTTAGGTATTTTCAGGCTTTGACCAGCAACATGGGTTTATTAAAGTATAAAGAAGTTTATGCAGCTGCAGCAGAAGTGTTGGGACTCGCTCTTCGATACATTGCTGAGAGAGAAAATGTAAGTGAACTTACGGTGTGTTTGACCATTCCTGAACTTAATTCTATGTGCATCTTTTCTATGACTATTCAATTCAGCTTCAAAAATGAATGTATTTAAAACTCAACAGTCTTTGTCCAACAGATAAAGGTTTATACTAGTAACTCAAGAGGAAAAGTGTTTGAGTGCAGACTTAAGTGCACAGTTTTTGCCCTGCTGTTTTGGAGCTGGCAGTGAATGGTCTTTTTCTGAGGCTTTGTTCAGCTTTTGCCAGCCATCAACACTGGCATGGTACATTTAAAGTGTTTGGTTTCTTGGTTTTGGGGTTTTTTTTAAAGAAAAAAAAAGATTTGCAAGTTGGGAGGTTTGAGGCTACCTTTTGAATAACTGTACTTGAGGATGTTCAGTAATTTGAAGTTTTGATGTAAAATTTAAAGATACTGTATTTAATTTTGATTCCAGTTGTTTTCTAGGTAGTGGATAAGGTGAATGCAAAACTGTTACTCACCAAATCCTACAGTAGTGTAATTAGGGGATAGTGCTTGATGATCACAGGAATCAGTCTGAGACAGATGCTAGAAGTACTTCTTTACACAACATTTAGTGAACTTCTGGAATTTGTTACCAGAAGAGATTCTAGGGGTAAGTAGCATCAGCAGTTTCAAAGAGAAATTAGGCAAATTCGTGCACAAAAAAAAAATCCATGAACAAGTTCTAAAAACAATGGACAACAAGGTACACTCTAAGATCCCTAAGCCAGTGACAGATGCATGTTGGGTTGTGTGAGAGAAAAGGAGGACAAAATGCTGCCAGGCTCATGTGCTCCCTCTGCAGCTGCTTTTGGAGGCAAAATTACCAAGTATTGTCTAGGTGGATTATTAGTCTGACCTTGTAGGTTATTCTTACTTCTGTCCCTACTATTCTTACTTCTTTCCCT